CAATCGGTCAGAACAGAAATTTCAGTCGGTCTGCATAAACACAAGTGTGATACTCACCCCGAAGCCACATGGACATCCATCTTGATCCGCGGCAAAGTCTTCCAAGCCTTGGGAGGAGCAACCTTGGGCTGCTTGGCGACCTTCTCCGTGGGCTCCGGAGTCGACGTCCGAGCACGCTTCTGAGTGTGAGGACCTGGAGCCACGTTCTTCCCACGCGCACCTACCGGGTCATGTTGCTGTTTGGATCGACGTTTGGAGCGCGGTGGCGAGTCGACTTCCTCCTCCTCGTCCGACTCCTCGCTCTCCTCCTCCTCCTCTTCATCCGAGGACTCCCACTCTGCACTGGCCTCTCCTTCCTGGTCCTGCACCAAAGCTTGTTCGCCGTCGGGCATCGAATACATCTCAGTGAAAACCTACAAGACAAAAAGACGAGCGAGAGTCAGTCGACATCAAGTACAGTCGGAACATACATGCCAGGCAGTCGGAATAAAGAGCATACCTTGTCGGGTGGATTGTCGTCTCTGAAGGGAATGACTCGCCTGGATCCTCTGGGGTTGTCCTGATTGCCTGTAATACTCCTCAACCACATAGCCACGGTTTTGGACGGCACCTCCTCTCGATGGACCCGAGCGGTGTCTTCAGGTCCGGAGTATAACCACATAGGATGGTCACCTGCCTGAAGGGGCTGGATGTGTCGACTGAGAAACACTTCCAGCAGATCCAGGCCGGTGACACCCTCATTGATGAGTTGGACCACTTTCTCCACCAACATCTTCGTCTCCACGTTCTCAGCAGCAGTCACTTTGAGTGGAGAAGGAGTCTAGACACGGTCGAATGTGAAGTGGGGGAGGCCAGTCGACTGGCCCGGAGCTGCGACGTCCTGGCAGTAGAACCAGGTTGACTGCCAGCCTCTAACCGATTCGGGGAGAGTCATAGAAGGGAAAGAACTCATATACCTTTTTTGTATGCCTAAACCCCCATACATCTGGATGACATGGGTTTTCGAGTCACCCGACTTTGCTTTTTTGACCGACTGAGAGCGGATGGTAAAGAGATGCTTGAAAAGACCCCAGTGTGGTCGACACCCTAAGAAGTTTTCACACATCGACACGAACGCGGCCAGATATGTGATGGTGTTGGGAGAAAAATGGTGGAGTTGAGCACCAAAGAAATTCAAGAACCCTCGGAAGAAGGGGTGCGGAGGAAGCGAAAAACCCCGGTCGATGTGGGTAGCGAGCAGTACACACTCACTCGGTCGAGGCTGAGGCTCCATCTCCCCCTCCGGCAGCCTTGCCGCTCCTTTGGTGATCAGTTCGGACTCCGCCAGCTCGTCCAGATCTTCCTGCCGAATCGAAGACCGGATGTAATCGCCCTGGATCCAGCCCGGCGGTAGCCCCGCGCGCGATGACGACCCGCGGTTCTGCTTCTTGCCCTTCGCCACCCTCGTCACCTTCTTTGCGCGCTCTAGCGCCGCCATCTTGTCCTTCACCATGGCGGCGGAGTGGCGGCATTGAGAGCGGAAGAGCTGGGCGCGGTGGAGAAGCGGAGGAAAAAGAAGTTGGAGCGGGCGTGCACAGTGCAGACGCCTCGGCCCCGTCGCCTTATAAAGGGTTGCTTCTGAGTGACTGACGCGTGGGACTAGGCAATCCTGTCAAATCCTGCAACAGTCGCGTGCAATGTACGTGGCGAAAAAGGCGGCGTGGAAATCGAGGCATCACTGTTTATCCGCTCCGCCCGCTTCGGCGCTCCCCGTCCCGCGCGCTTCCCCGAAATTTCGTATCCCGTGAAATCCGGGATACGCAGCAGTCAATCGCGCCCAAGATCCTGCACTCTAATACAGCACTCGGCACATGATGCCACAAGTTCAGTCGACAACTCTCTGAATGGATCAAGGCAGCTGAGTCGACGTTGGAGTACCAACGTGAGTTTTCAGTCTTGCAGAAAACCCTCACGAAGGTGCAAAGCTCAGAGCAAGTTCAACTTCAACCTACTTTCCACTCAAACCTTAATCCATTCGGGGGCTACTGATGAGGATACAGACCTGGGGTAGGGTCATAGGCCGGACCTATACGTCCTATCCAAGGTCACTACCCTAGAAGATAAGAAGTCTAAGAGACGGCAAGAGACCCCCAGTCAAAGATGTCGAGTGCAATCCACTCGACAGTCATGTCACTCGGGCGTCCCCCACCCTACTGTCACTCGACCATCCAGAGAATCACTCGACCTACCGAAGACCAGGAGTCACTCAGCATTACAACGGGCAGGCGTTCACTCCGTAGTCTTTAAAGTCACTAACAACACTTAAGGCTGGCATTACCAGTAACGCCCCTACGTTATGTACATTAAGTCCCTTGTAATGGAGGACGGTGGAGGTCCTGACGTACTCTATATAAGCCACTCCCTCCTCTGGCACAAGGGTTGGCACCCCCTGTAACATCACATGTATAATCCAATCGACCGCCTCCGGGCACCGAGACGTAGGGCTGTTACTTCCACCGAGAAGGGCCTGAACTCGTAAACCTCATGTGTACATCTTCACCATAGCTGAGATCTTGCCTCTCCCTACCTACCCCCCTTTCTACTGTCAGTCTTAGAACCACAACAAGAGGGGCAACACACACCACGATCCCCAAGCCGTGTGCGACACCCCTCTCCCTGTAGTTCGTCCTCGGTCATAATTTTCGTAGTGCTCGACGAAGCCCTGCGGAGATAGTTGCACCAACACCGCCGCCATGCCGTCGTGCTGCCGGAACTCATCGAGCTAAACGTGTGTTGAACGCGGAGGTGCCGTACATTTGGTGCTTGACCGGAACAGATCGTGAAGGTGTACGACTACATCAACCGCATTGATAAACGCTTCCGCTTAACGGTCTATAAGGGTACGTAGACACTCTCCCCTCTCGTAGCTATGCATCTCCATGGATAGACCTTGCCTATGATTAGAATTTTTTTGTTTTTCATGCAACGTTCCCCAACATATAATTGGTGCATAATCAAGTGAATTGTCAACGGTGAATATATTCTGAAAATATTGGTGCATAATCAAGTGAATTGTCAACGGTGAATATATTCTGAAAATATTGATTCGCAGCCCGAGCCATTGCATCTCATGTATGCACATTTCCACTGAGATCTCCTAGATTCCTTATATTACTTTTCCTCGCCCGCCAAACAAACTTTGAATGATTTTTTTTAGTATTCGAGTCTCCTTCTTTCAACCATAAGATCCTTGAACGATGTAGCCATATCATCTCCTTGCGGTACAAGAGTTCATTTATTTTACCATCCCCATTTCTCAATTCAGTGCGATCCACATTCGTGTTCATAAGTTCCTCTAACCTTAATCGGGATTTCTCAGCCTCTCTAGTGACATTAATTACCAAAGTTAGTGCAGCTCCATTTGTGCAGGCTATTCATCACGTTACCAAATAGCATGTGCCATCTCGCCTAGGTTCCGTTTCGACCAGCCTCGGCCCACGTGTTGGAGATGACCTTAGGCAGTGTCGGTCCCTCTCCCACATAATTGTGTATCTCCGCATTTTCTTCGGTCTTATTCCTGAATCAGCTTCGCTTCGCACAAGCAGAGGACAATGTTACGATCTAGGTGAAGTAATGTAGAGGACCGAAGGAGCAGGAAACAAATTTCTCCAATCAATGTTTGATGTTGCCCTATCTAGACGCACTTGACATTTGCAGGTCCGCCTCTTTAGTTGTCATATGTGAACGGTACCCCAACAAAGCCCAAACCAGTGAGCTCACACACCTCAAACGTGTCTCGGAAAGCTAGCATTTGACTTGAAGAACACGGTGTACTCAAGAAATGTTCAAAATCAGGTGATCAAAACTAGCGAGGGAAAGGGGGGTTGGGGAGGGTGGCCCGCCGGAAACCCTTGTTGCCCTCAAGTCGCCCTCGGGAGGTCCATAGGGCCGAAACGGTTTTTTAAGGAAGCAATGATTTTCTTCGGTTTTTATAATTAATCAGACCATTATATTATGAAATGGTAAATGGTTTGCCTTGTTTAAGAAAAGGATTCCTTGAATACCTAAACTATATCTGTAGCTGGGCAACTAATTAACGTGGCACCAATTGTTTTTTTTCCTTCGTATGAGTGCTTTGCTTTTTCTGGGCTGGTGTACTCTCAGAATAGTTTGAGAGGCTGCGTCTTGCGTGAATGATGCCCAGCTGCTTTTGTAAAGTAACAACGCGAGATCGAATGATTCTAAACTTGCTGCGGCTGCGTTTTGTTTGTCACACTAGCACCAAAACCCATGGGTTACTGCACATATCCGAAGTCGATATGATGTGCTCCCTCGGCCTCTAAAAAAAGACCTACAATTTGTTTTCTGAAGTCAAACGATATACAGTTTGACTGAGTTTATATGCTAAGAAAAAGTTTGACTGAGTTTATAGAAAAATTATCAAAAACTACGATACAAAATTAATATAATTAGATGCACAATGAAATATTTTCATATTACCTATTTCAGATTGTAATTGTTAATGGGTTTCCCTACAAACTTGATAATACTATGCATCATTTGACTTCAAATAACAATTGTAGGTCTTCTTTCGAGAGACGGAGGGAGCTAGTAGTAATATTCTACTTTCAAATGATTGAGCGCCGTCTTGTTCAAAAAAGAAGGAATGTTGTCTTTTTTTAATGTAATGAGTTGGTTAAGCCAAATGTGCTAGTAACTCACTCTCATCGATCTGGATCAAATGAGGGGTTGCATTGTGAAAAAAAGGAAGAAATAAAACACCACCCTGTCATATTCTTCTTCCTCCGACAACAAGATTGGTATCATTCGCAGCAACTGCCCAAGCAACCGCACCTCTTTATTCCCTGCGTCGCCGAGCAAAAAGGTGGCTTGGCATCCGCGCTACTAACCGTATAAGAGGGCCCTCCAAATGCATCTCATTTCATAACATATGTGCACAGCAGAACCAGCTTGACCATCACCTTGTCTTCCCTACATCTTACTACAGACAAGCAGCTGCAATGTCGACGGTCATCTCTTGCTCCCTCCTGAGCGGCCGGCCGGCGGACGCACCATCGCGCTCCTCCGGCAATCGGGCTCCTCCGACGACGGGGAAGGCTGCCGCGGTTTCTCTCTCTAGTTTCCAGCGGCAGTCCAGGCCCTCCTCCGTGTGCTGTGCAAGCAACCCAAAAGGGGATCAGCACGTACCAAAGACGGATTTGCCGCCGTTCGGCATCTCCCCCGTCGGTAAGATGACTTTATATTCCGTGCACGTGCACCACACTGATCGCCATGTCACTCACACAAAGAATTTGTGTTGATCAGCTCTGCTGCACCCCGGGTCGCCGCAGGGGGAGCGGTGGGGGATACATGAGAGGGCCGACAACGTGAGCATGTGGTTCGAGGTGCCGGGCCTGTCCAAGGAGGACCTCCTCGTGGAGCTGGACGAGGACGTCCTCGTCATACGGAAGATGAAGACCAAGGCGGAGATAGAGGCTGCGACGGCAGACGCTGTCGCCAGCGGTAGCTCCAAGGACGCGGCCGGAGCGGCAGCGCACGACGGTGACATGTACGCGCGGCTACTCGTCCCGGCGGGCTACAACAAGGAGACCATCAAGGCGGAGCTCGCCTCCGGCGTTCTGAAGGTTCACATTCGTAAAGTCATGGAGTGCGCACGCAGGAGGATCAATGTCAACATCGACGTCAAGTAGAACTACTGCTTTGCATAATGCATACGCATGGACATCTCTACGTACGTTGACGTCCATTGCATCGAGGGAGAAATTGTCCAAGAGACCCATGAAAAACTTCTTCAAATGTACTTATAAGGTCAAGTATTATGCATGTATCATGTATCACTTGTTTTCCAACCATGAATACAATTATTGATCAAGCTGAACATTTGTTGTGCTATGTAAAAAGGTATTTGTTGTGTTTGTGAGTCTACTCGAAGGACTCCCCACCCCTATGTCACGTAGGTTGACAATTTGTCAAAGTCATGTCCACTCGATGAAGGTCCAACCAATGTCAACAAGTCAAAGAAAAGACTAAAATAGGAAATTATCTAAGGATGAAGATCCAAGTAAAATAAGCTCGTTAGGTGGAGGGACATGTAGGAGCTAGCTTTACCATGGGCTACGCCCAGATGCAGAGGTCGGGGTCTTCCTCCCGTTCTAAAAAATGAAAATAAAATAAGGAGAGGATTCATGAGGAAGGCTTATCTTTGATGAGAGTTGCTAGTTGAGGAACTTCCTTCATCACCACCCTCAGTAGCCATAGATGAGATATCACAAGAGTTGCACGGTACCACGAAAGTATGGTAGCTTGAATGTTATAAACTCTGAATGAGTTGTTTGTGATAATTATTTCTTGGGGATTCAATCGACAGAAATGTATTGCAAGGGTTTGTCATGGTAGCTACCTTTATCATGACATTCATGTATAGACAATCGAACAAAATATGTATCCTAACCATAAATTTTATGACTTACAGGTACATATTCAAAAACAATCCAAAGTACATAACCAAACACATTGCTGAATCGATCAATCAAATGCTTATGTCTAGTTTAGTTCGTTTGGTGCAGGACGTAGAAAAACCTAGCCCCTACCACCAGATCAATAGCCCTCCCATTCGCTGCCGGACATTGCTCTGGCGTAGTGGACGAAGAAGAAGGGATTCCCATCTCTTTGATCGGCATTTCATGTTGCGAGACAACATCACCCCGGTGGTTATGGCCTTGTTGTCACGAATAAAAGTTCTCTGACTCCAGTCTCATCTCGGTGGAGCTTGTTCCCACTATTTTTGAAATTTTCAAAGGGGGGGGGGCACTCCTAGCCTAAATATATTCCATTCTTCTTTTTTACAAGACCACGACTACCTTGAAGAGAAGAAATCCCGCCACAGGCACTTGTTTAGGAAGCCTATGGGACCAAAGAGTTATGTCGATAATGATGTTTGCGAGCACGGTGTTGGTGTTAACGTTGATCCCACATAGCACCTTAGAGTTCCTGGCATCCCAAAGCTTCCAAAGCACTAGTAAAAGATTAAGGGGGCGAATAGAGGTAGCAAACCTTGTGGCGTCAGCGGTGACCAGAAGCGATCGATGGGAGATAAGCATGGCAAATGATTGATCCCTATCCTCTGATGCACATTGACAACGAGGGCTTGATCCCACATTGCTGGGGAGCTTGGGGGTTTAAGCTCCCGTCATTCTTCATACACGACATGTTGGTTCATTGTGTTGTTTTTCGCAGGGTGTTTGTCTATATCAGAGGAGATAAGAAACATCCTCCAAATGCCAACAAACTAACACCCTGCCACCTCCACACTCCATGTCACTATAGGTAATGTTAAAAATCCGACGTCCAATTTTTAACCATGGCAAATCATATGTTTTTATGGCAAATTCAGTTGGCCCGAGGATGTCAAATTCCTTTTACAAGCATGGCAAATCCTGGCAAAACACTGAACACGACAAAGGATTTGCTATGCTTGCTAAAGAAAATTGTCATCCTCACGACAACTAAATTTACCATAAAAAGTTTGATTTGCCATGCTAAAAAATCAGTCGTTCGATTTGTAGCGAAATCTTTTCTTTTGGGTAGTCATGTATCGTAAAGAATTTTTTTAGAACACAATACATTTGAGGATGTTCATATACACGCACAGCGGCGGAGACAGGCCCCAGGCAGCCCGGGCCGCTGCCTGGGCGTGAGACCAACTGCCTTCGTGTATTGTATAGAATACTGTGGATACAGTGCGTCACTGTACACTGGCTGCTTCGGGTGGCCCGGGGCGTGGCCACATCCTGGTGCCGCCACTGCACGCACATACTCATCTCTATGAACATAGGTGCTTCATATTCGACCGAACATCTCCTCCTATTAAACTAATATTGATCAAAAAGCCTGAAATAAATCCAGAAAATGCAAGCACTGATGTTAAAGTCTAGAGGTTGGTCCACTGCAAACAACGTAATCATCTTGAGCTATGCCCAGTTTGCTGCATCAACAAGATTAGCATCCACCCACCCGAAGAATCATCACTTTACCTACCAAATAAGCAGCGTCCCGGTCGGCCCGATCAGTTTTCTTCTCTCTTTATTCCCTCCCTATCCGACAAGCAAAGGTTATTCATGAAACGGCCAGTCGACACTCCTGCAGTCCTGCTACCTCGCTCTGTGCATACGCTTCCATCAGAGCCTGGCTTCCATATGTGTAGTATAAATTGGAACCGCCTCACACTAGTAGCCAAGAATTGGCATGCACTAAACCAACTTTTAGCCTTCTTCAGAGATATATAGTTCCCACATTGCAATCCAGCATCAGGATAAGGCAGTGATAGATGCAAGTTAGCGTTGCGGGTCTAATGTCGACGGTTGTTGCGTCTTGCACCCCTATGAGTCGCTCGCCCGTTCTGCCGTCTTCTTCCGGCACGCCGGCGAGCCGCTCTTGGAGGCCGGCGGCAGCGACGGCGTTCCCTAATTCTCTCGCCGTCAAGTGCTGCCGGCCGACGTCTGTGGTACTCCGCGCTCACCCGGAGAAACAGCTGCCGGCGTTCAACATTCCCCCCACCGGTACGTGAGACGCCCTCCACATTCATCCTTCATGCATGTCAAATAGTCTCGTTCATAGCTGTTGAAATCTGAACTCTTATGTGTTTTTGTGTGTGTGTGTGTGTGTGTTCAGCCCTGCTGTACCCCGTGCAACCGCCGGACAGCAAGGAGCGGTGGGACATCAAGGAGGAGGAGAGGCACGTCAAGATATGGCTCCAGGTACCCGGGCTCTCGGAGAACGACCTCGAGATCACCGCCGGCGAGGACATGCTCGAGATCAAGAGGAAGGCTGGCACCGGGGCCGGCGGCCGCGAAGAGCCGCCGGTGGAGGTGCACGGGGTGGGCTCCTTCCACGTCAGGCTTCTCATGACGAAGGAATACAACAGCGAGGACGTCACCGCGGAGCTCAAGGCCGGGATGCTGGAGATTACCATCGGCAAAGCCGACAACCGTGGCATCAAAAAACCAGTCGGGTTTGGGAAGAAAAGCACCACCAAGAACACGCCAACCCAAGACAAGCCAAGCTTAAACAGTGCCCAAGGACAAGGTAATGGCGCCACACCGAACAATCAGAAGTGACCGGCCCAAACCGAACTTCAGTGCGTTTTTCCCTTTTCGTGTACCCATTTCCCATTTTTCTTTTGCGAAATAAACAGCTTAAGTTTGAAATGAGGGGGTGTTTGGTTCAGGGACTTTTTAGTCTCAGAGACTAGAAAAAGTTCCTAGAAACCAAACGGAGGGACTTTTTCTACAGTGACTAGAAAAAGACTCTACTGGAGAGTCTTTTTTGATTAGTCCCTGGGACTAGAAAAAGTCCTAGGACTTCTGAACCAAACACCCCCTGAGTGATGCACCGCTAGTTGTGGCGTGCGCTGTCGTGTGCGTATGGAGATTGTTTGTTTAAAATTGAGCTCTTTTATAGCGCTTCAGAAATTAATATAGTCCGTTCATTTCTCCCGATCCAGTGGCCCGGATGATTTGGTACTCCATCACTAATTCCAAGTGGACCTTCAGGAGGGCCAGCCCGACACTACACTTGAAAGCTCACCACCTCGGGGCGCAGTTTCTCGGGTCCACGACCACGAGCTTCAACTTCAAGGGCACGATTTGGGAAAATTGCGAGCCAAGGCGCTAAGAAGTTGATGCACTGCTCGTTGTGATGTGCGCTATTGTATCCGTATGAGATTATTGGTTTGAAATTCGCAAAGTCATTTATTTTCCGAAAGACCAATGGCTATACATTAAGTAGCAGATATCGTTATAAAAACACACTTATAGAAATTGAAAAATACATCCAAGTCTCTGGGGTTGTTGAAATCTTCTTCCTATATCCATCGATGACACGCTGTACGCAATACTCGATGCCGCCTGAGCCTCCATCTTAGCGAAGAAAACTTGTTGAAACATAGGAGTTTGTAAAATCGGCGGTCGGAAGTCGGTGATGCAGAGCAGAAGACGTCGGCATTGCGGTCTATAGGGTAAATCACCACCTTGTAGAACGAAGCATCGGAGAGGGCCTGGAGAACGCTCCAGATCCGGCATACTAAGTCGGGAGACGCAAACCTCACATGCTCCCCGACAAAAGTCGACAACATTCACTAGTAGGAGCCGGAGATGAAGGATCAAGACAGAAAGTCGCGACGCATCGATAGGACAATGCCATCGAGACAGACATGCACAAGAAACCCAATCCATATAAGAAGAAGAAGGGACAAATGGCCAGCAGAAACACCGGCAGAGAAGATTCGACGGGGAGTTACCGCACTGCTGCCTAGGTTGTGAGAGGCGCGCAGGGGGAGGGGCGTAACAACTAAAATCCACAAAATCATTTTGAAAAACTAAAACCTTCGAACAATTTGTTTCTTACACGAAAACATGTTGTTGTTGTTTTTTGCATTTGGGGACCCTTCAAAGAGTCTTTATATAGGGAAAATTCATTTCGGCTCTAGGTCCAAATGAACCATATATGTGGACATCTGAGTTTCATAGAGATATGTGTCTTCTCAAGTATTCTGGCATGTATACATGTTTCCCATTCTTTATGAACAGTCATTGGACCCACGTATGAGCCATATTCAGTGAACATCGTCCTTCCGTGTTTGTAATACCGGTCATCACATGCCGCTACTGTCTAATCTGATAAGCCAAACCCGAGGTTTCCCTCGAAGCTCGATGAGACCGCCATCGTGACAATGCCCTCAAGGAGATTAGGGGCGTCCATAGACGTTGCTGCACCGCCGGCATCCGAGCAAAGGATTTCTCCACGGCGGTAGTCTCTCGCACCCTGGGAGTAGGAGGCAGAAGCGCTCGTCGGAGACGCCCATCAACGTAGAAGGAATTGCCACCTGAGGCGAAACAAATCCAGGCACATTGCCCGCACCCGTCTAACACGGCCCAACTAGAGGAGCCGCCAGCGGCAAGGAGAGGATCCGGGCATGCCAATCTGGATATGCCGTCACTGCGGCGTCCGCCGCATGCCAGAGAACCAACACGCTATCACGCTCGCCTGCTCCACGCCCTAGCCGAAGACACCAACCCGTGCCGGTCTTCCCGCGCGAGAGGACGAGAGAGCCCGTCGGCGCCGGCGCCAAGGAGGGAAGGGAACCGGCGGTGACCGAAGTTGGGCTCCCCGGTGTGGCTAGAGCGGCATGGGAGCGAGTTGCGTTTTTTTAGAATCGAGAGAAGACTTCGAGGCACATAAAATTGACACAGAGACAAGTTGCGTTTACTCATGTAAAATTCTGCTCGGCCACCTAAAATTGTGAAATCTTCTTCGTACCGTGCCACTAATACCATGTATAGTACCTGTCTTTTTTTTTGAGCAAAATGTATAGTAGTACCTGTCAGTTGGGATT